GTTTCTTGACCCACACAAGGATGGTAATGACTCTCGTTCGCTGAAAACATCTCGTTATGGAAAAAGGAATGTTCTACCTCCAAAGATATCAAAACTGCTGCCTGGCTTTGTGTGCTGCACTGCAGTGTCATTTCTCTTTTTCCCATTATATCATTCTTGTCAAATTTAAAGTATAAACCTAAAAATGCCACAGTCAGAAGCTTCTAAGAAATGCGCTTTTACACAAACAACTGCATTATGGCAAACTGCACAGAGCTTGGTAATTTGTACATGGAAAAAAAAATGAAAGTCCACTTTGAAGGCTCATAAATTGCCCACGTCTCTTAGCTAATCACCAATAATGGGTATCTCCTAAAAGGAGGTTTAAGTCAGAGTTCACCACATAGATTATGACGGGCGGCTGATGAAGATATACGGAAAACAAATGCACGACGATGTGCCAAACGGGCCACCAGCGGAGCGGGAAGATGACGGGGACAGAGGTCGTCGGCAAATGAAAGCCGTGTCTGGTGATGAAGGGCACATCATTCACAATCCAGCAACAGAGGCCTACCAGCGTCTGTGGGATTCTAGGCTTCATTTCAAAAGACACACAGCCAAGAAATCCAGCATTCGCCACAGAGACAAAAAGCCAGGGGACAGGCATGTCGACCCTGGGTCTCCTTCCTGCAGATCACCCTCCCACTCCTCCACACTAATGTCCATTCACTTCGAAGCGCGCTCGCTCAATCTCGAGTACACTTTTTCCTCCACTGCCCCTCTTTCCTTCTTTTCCTCTCCATCTCACCCACTTGACTGTCTCGTCCACACACACACACATCCACACACTGCTTTCCCAGCTCGCTGCCTGCAGCCGGAGGAAAGTGGAAACCAGTGTCAGTGAAGTGTATCAGCCCAAGGAACAATGAGCAAGGGACTGTTTTGTAAGGCTAGCAAAGGAGATTTGGGGGGGGCGGGGGTGCTCCATTATCACTGACCAGCACCTTAGAAAGAAAAGAGCTGCCCCAACAGTACCACAGACTCACTCACTGAGTTTGCCCCTGGTATAGGTTTCACAGAGCACAAAACATAGTGATCTCAAATGTGCCATCCATCACAGGACCTCTATTAAGAGAAAAAGAAACAGGTGGTTCAGTGACACTAGAGCAGGTATTTAGTCAGCTGCCTCGGCCAGTTCTCAATACTTTTACTCAGGGTGCATTTATCAAACTTTTAAAGTACCGATATCTGGGCTTTGGGTTCCAGTCGATACCAAGTACCGATCTAATAGCAGTGTTTAATTATAAAGCTGTATGCCTCACTGTGTGGAAGTGACAGCTCATTTATTAAATCCTGATGTAAGGCAACATCAGGCTCGACTAAAACATTGCTTTCTTAATTTATAGATAGCAATACTGGATAGTTAGTTATTAAAATAACGGCATCGGACACCAGATCGGCCGATTGTCACAGATACCCAATCCAGCTGTGAAGAGTCAGTATCGGACCCATCTTTCTACTCATTACTCTTCAGCTCGCATCGAACAAAAAAAACTCAAACACTTTTAGTGTTTAAATAGGCAACCGGACCTCAGACTAGTGAAAGTATGCACCCCCACTACCCTTAAAACTCATCTCCCCACAGGTGACACATCCAGAATAGGTCTCTAACCAGCCCTGCAGAGTTGGTTGAGGCCCTCAGCGGTCACAACATTGACCCCTGCCGTCTATAAAGTATGGACATGGTGGCAAAGACGGACAAAGGACAACAGCAGCCAATACGACGCTATGTCCACAAGAAAAGGACTGACGCTATGTCACAGTGTGTGGACACTAAAGCACAGGACAGAGTGAAATCACTCAACACCCCCCCCCCCCCACCACCACCACTACTACTACTCTGTCATGACCAATGACAGCCACTTCCTGCCCCTGTTTCTTGGGTAATTCAACCTGCATATACAGAGATTGTAACTGGAGCTGACTGACATTACCGTACCGTTTATAACACATGTGCAGCCGAAAGCACATGAAAGAGGAAGAGAAGACTAAAGAGAAGAGATATCAAGTTGAAAGGCTTTGTCGGGTGTCAAATTAACATTGATCGAGTAATATGTATGCGTGGCTCGTCAACTTTCTCAACCGTATAAATGTATGTGGAGACAAAGGCAACAACGGTTACAGTGCCCGAGCCAGCTTGTCTTGTTGCTGGTATGTGGCATTAAGCAAAACAAACATGTCTCACTCACAGTTTCCTCTTATTTCTATGATGTCCTCACTTTGGAACAAACCATTCCAGACTACGTCCTACATTAACCGAGAGCCAGAAGATAATGTGGATAGTTTACGGGCTGGACTAGTGGGCCACGACTCCTTGAGCTTTTATCGTCATGTCGTCATATCTTTAGTGCAGTCCTCCTGGTATCTGCGGTGTGAAACACAGAAGGTCGGACTAAGGTGTTCTGCATTGCCTAATTTTTATAACTTCCTGACATAAAGGCTGACCAAAAGCCCACTTTACGCACCAAATGGTATGGAGCCCATTAGGCGTCAAAGCTGAGCTCCAAAGCACAGTCTGGCCTGAAAGACCATATAAAGGTCATGTTCTGATGCACAACAGCTCTAGGAACTGCATTGGGCACACTGTTTACGAAACAAACAACACTTAACACTTAGGGGGTAAACATGTGCAGGTGTAGATGTTTCAAAAGCAAGAAACGACATCCCTAGAAATAAAAACTGAGGAAAGACAGCAAGAAAAACATGATTTCTTGAGCCATTAGGCACACGTATCAAGACAGTGTTTCCTTAAAATATGCTTGAGTTTGTGACAATATGTTACCTGTACATACATCAATTCAAATATATTGATGTAGCGCTGGATCGGATGATGCACAACTTTTGCAATTGAATAACTTCATCAAAAGCTGCAAATAAATAGGCCTAGCTAGCAACCAAACCAACAGGATAATGAATGCTTTGAGTAAGCGTCACCACGTGACGGCTTCAAAGATGGTTTTATAGTTCTTTCCCACAGAACTGTGGGGCTTCTGCCCGGACTAACATCAATCAGAATGGATCCCACCGGTTACAAGTAGTATTACATCCAAATGTCGACTATGTTTCACACACATGTTCATTCAAACACAGCGACTTTTAAAGAAGTGAGACTCTGCCATTGACAGAAAGTGATGTGACGATATGATCCCATGTCCCAGCAGAAGAACGCCAACATCCCCTCGGTGACGTGGACTGGGTTCTGATACCACAAATATGTGACAAGATGAGAACTCGCAATATGTTTTCCCACCAGAATGGTTTAAAGTGGAGGTTTCAGCACTGACACTACACTGACACAGTATTGCTTAAGTTTCATTGGAATACATGTATTTCCACTGGCTTTCAAATCAAAGCACCAAAAGCAGTAAGCTTGTATCACCATTGACTATCTATTATAATCATAAATGTAGATAATATTAGGCCTACTGAGCACCAAAGGAGTAATGACCTTGACCACTGATGGGATGTATCAGACGACTACATTAATCTCAATCTATCCTCTATATATAAACAGTTGATGGGGGTGTATCTGTATGCGACGTGCTCAGTGATGCAGTTAAAGACGACTCTGTGGGCAGCAGCACAACGACCCTGGGACGGTTCAAACCATGTTTTGGTCTACAGCTGCATTAAAGTTAAATCAAGAAGCTTTCCTTGTAACTGGAAGAAAAAAAAAAAAACACAAATACAATGCGGGGTTTTTCGCGTTAGTCCAGTTCCAGCTCTAGAGGAGAAACGCAACAGCACAAGACCCTCAACTTTCACGTAAACTTGGCGCAATGCGATCCCCCATCTGGCTCGCACCTCGTTTAATAACAAAGCGATGCCTACGTGTGCTCCTCCGCCTGAAGGGGGTGGGGACGAATGAGTGATGGGAGACTGTTGATGCGTGATGTTGACCGCACCAGTTCCTCTAAAGTGCAATCATTCCTCGATTAATTAAACGATCTACATTAACTGTGATGTGAAAAGGCACCTCGAATAAATACATGCTGGAATTAGCTGTTCTGTGAAGTCCGAATACATTTTCAAAAGGAACACGGGGGTCGAGTCGAGTGGGAAAGTTGTATTATGTCGCCTAATCGTTGTAAGATACATGTAGTTTATTATCTAATGGTCAGAGATCTTACATCTGTCGCTTTTCTAACTCGATTGCTATCGGGAATACACGTTTGAACCTTCGCTTCTTGAAACAAAAACATAACGTGACGAGCAAACAATGCCGAGTAGCATCTGCGTCCCTGTGGCTCCTCGAGCCAGATGGCTCGCAAACTGCAAGACAATAAACTCGAACCTCGCGGTATGAACTTAACTTTTACGCCAATTGACAGATAAAAGAAGCGAAACAGACAGAGTCCTTTTAGTAAGACCACGAGCAGAGTTATCACGCGACTTTTCTGCTCTACGCGTCGCATATAATCTAAACACATCATGCCTAAATGTTCACGACAAGCATAATCTCATCGTCTTCTCTGGTTTGCTTTTTGTGTGAATGACCTGGAATAGGGTCGCTCTTAAACATAAACAACACGCGACTCTGGCCAAATAAAAACAAACGAGCGGGGCACATGGTTGCTACAAGATCACCTTTATCTAAAGTTACTCTGGAGCAGCAGAGCACCCGTTCATATATAATAAAAGCCACACGTAACTTTATTTATTTAAACTGTATCATGCCTGCTAAATTCAACGGACGTCTTAAGTGTCATTTTACAACTTTAAAGCGCAGAAATTAGCAATTAAAGCTAGCTTTTAGCTGTGCTAACGCGCTAGCTCGTTACCCAACAGGATTGCCTTAGTGAACGAGAAGTTCAGAGGACACTAAGCTGGTTACCCGGATAGCTAGTTACACTAAATGCGGTCCAAGAGACCAAGCAGACAAAAAAGCTGACACAAACAACTTTTCATTTCCGCAATGAAAGACACTCGTGTTACCGAAAGCTACCACAGTTGTATTTTACCTCTATTTCAAAGTCTGGCAGGTTGAACGCGGTCCTGAACAGCGAGCAGAAGTGCGCTATGGCGGGGACTTCCCACCAGGACTGGATCTTTTCCACAGAAACTCTACATCCATGTGACATCTTCGAACTTGAGATATTGTGTCACGTCTGTTGTTCACATTAGAGGGTAGTTTCCTCGGCGACTTACAATGTCTCCGTAACATTACAAACACGACAAAAGTTGCTGGTGTCGTCCTTGTCGGACATTTGCCATCGCGACCCGAGGAGCGCTACAATCTGTTTCAATCAGAGTCTCACTGGAGCCGAACAGATGGGGAGGGCGATACCACCGCACGGCGAGGAGGGGGGGGGGGGCTTCTACTTTACCTATATGTTAAACTATATTTGGACACAAGTACTCTTTATAGTGTCGACCATGTTGATATTTTACAACAATAACATGTCACTTTTAAACATGTTTGCACTTATATATCTCTGCTCGTCACAGTAGCAAAAGTCTAACGTCAACAGTAACCCATTGGTTTGGTATTGCGGCCGCCGTTTAAAGGGAATGCCTGTGAATGAATTAAAAAAAATAAAAACATGAACCAGGTATGAGCCAGGTAACTTGTTTTAAGTTACATCAGTGTTGTTTCCGTGCGCGGAGATGAGGGTTTAGTTCAAATCGTTTGGCACATTCGTTATATTTTCGTTAATTTCCTATTGTCAACGGTTTTTTTTTACCTACCACCCCTTTGATTTGATTTATAACAGCAACAACTGTCTTCAATCAATCACAAAATGTGACTCGTTCAGCTGATCATTGTCGTGTACAGTAAACTGCCAGCTCTCCGTGTAGGCTAGATTTTGTAAACAACATCGCGGTGGAAGTTGTCCTCTACACTGCACGGGGGCTCCCTCCATCACAATGTGTGAAAAGTGCACGCTATGAGACAGCAGTTGCGCTCGGTGACAGTTAGAGCCAAAGTAATACATTAATTAAATAAATTAGGGCCAAAGTAAACACTCTGCCCTGCACGGCTGTGTTCAGAGTTAGATGCCCATGCACATATCTCTTATTATATCCCATTTTATTGATTTAAAAAAAAAGAAAGGCCATGTCACACATTCCCCAAGTTTTCTAGCTCAGGTGTTTGCCAAAGGAAAAAGGACGATGGTAAATATATGGTAAAATGGTTTGATTAAATAACTTTTCTTTAAAAAACACTTTACTCAAATAGCTTGTACTGATTCAAAGTATGTGTAAAATTGGAAGTATAATTAACGCATAATCATGCATTTAAATAAACCAAATTAAATCCAAAAAGTTATCAAACATTGTCATGCAAATATTGCATGTCCAAAACTTAAACCCCATTCAAGGCATTTAATTTAATGGCATTAAATTAAATGATCAGATTCATGAGATATCCAGTGTGCAAGTCAACGTTTTGGCCTAAAGGTGGTGCAAGAGGAAAGCTCATGATTTCTCCAGCAGGGTGTATTGTCCTGGGAGCCTGTTCCATATTATTATATAGAATACATAGAATGACAAATCAAAACGACCTCGACATATATTGTACAGTTCTCTGAACTCCATTCTTCTGAAATATATTAATTTGGTGTTTTGATGATGGTGGTGAAAGGGGCTGTGGAACAGGTTGTTCCGGGTTGAGACGAGGTGACAGGTGCTTCAGATGGATTTTGGTGCAATCTAACTCAGTACATCTGCTCATGTGCTGTACTGTAGTACAATTTTGACATACCATACATGCTATTTTATACTTATACATACAAAATATAAGATCAGTATGATGCACTTTTATTGATTACGCTATCTAACAGCATAATAAGTCATTCAAATTTGCTCCACCTCGACCAGCTTCATTAAAATGCTGCTTATACTTGTGAATAGTAACAAATAAATAGCCTCATAAACAAAAATATAACAGACAGGTTCCACTCTGTATGATGAGTACTTTTATTATTTACATTTTCCTAAAAATACTTCTGTACTTTTATTACGGTAAAATTTGAAATGCAGAACGTTTCTTTTTACACTTTGGTATTGTTACTGTAACTTGAGTAAAGCGTCTGAATTCTTCCTCCACCACTTCAGGACACCACAACTATCAGGTTTTATTTCCCCGGAGAGCTTTTCATTTCAAAAGTGCGCTTTGTGGTTTTGTAACACATATGATCAGCGACGAAATAGTATATGTGTATGCACATGGGACTGAGAAAGTTGGTCTGTCTATACATCTTATGCTTTTTACCATATATTAAATAAGGGGCCACATTTTGCCACATACGCTGAAATGAAATATTAAAAAAAAATCCCCTTTGATTCCTTCCACTATGGATACTTACAAGTCATCCCAGCTGATGAGGGAAATGATCACTGACAGTAATTGTTTTTCCATCAACAGGAATCAATACATCAATCAATGCTCATTATTAGGGTCAATGAGTGGTTGCTGTGGCAGTCACATGCTCTTCTTGTTGATGTCCTTACATAACTTTCTGTTCTTTAATAATTACCTAAATTTACATATTCCCCAATATAAATAATGAAGTTGTCCCAGACAGTGATAATCATATTGGTATGCCCCTGTTACATTGGTCGTAATTATAAGTCTGTTAACATTCTTGGAATTCAATGTGCCTCGAGGTGTTATGTAATACCAGGACCGTTGAATAGAGAGCTCATTACTGATGGGCAGCCCTTTCTTGTTGCTGTTCATGTTGTATATAAACATAATGTTCTTAGAGAAAATACACATTGAGTTATAACTGTGGGTGTTTGCCCCGGCTGTTGCGTGCCTTGTGGCAGCAGCATGAGTTTATGTCGAGTTGTGTTAGTGCAGAGCTGTGTTGCTGGGGCTGTGTCACCACGGCAGGGAGGGACTTAGGCAGCAGGACAAAGCTGGTGTTTGTGCAACGGCCCCTGAGTGGCGGCTGGCTCTCTCAGACCGCTCTCGCTTGACTACCATTGCTGCACGCATTGTTGAAGTGAAAGGAAAGTGGACAGCTTGATCCTGTCTGTGGGATGCACCGACAGAGGTAAGACCCGACTATTCCCCGCTGCTATATCTCTGTGATGGTAGAAAATGAAGTTTTTCTGAAAGCTGTCACATTGGGACTAGTGCTGTGTGAACTGGGTGAATTGTGCGAGCGGGGTGTTCCAGTGCAGTTTTTTTGGAGGAAAAAAGGGGGTCCGGGAGCTGGAGGTTGGCTTGGGGTGAGGCACCATTTGTCTGTGTTTTGGCAGGGTCACTGCTGTGCGTGAATGCAGCTGAGCTGAAAGAAAGTTTCACAGAAAGAGACTCAGCAAAAAGGGCATGTGTAGAATGTGACCAGGATACAGCGATGGAAAAGATAGAGTATGAAGGGGACATATATAGAAGAAAAAGTTGAGGTGATGGGAAATTATACAAATCAAGATGAGAAGATGAACAAAGCAAAATGACTGATGATGAAATGTTTCCGTTAGTCTCAGAGGAGGACAGGCGAAATAAAGAGTGAAGGTGGTAGAAATAGAGGCGGGATGGAGGTGGAGAGATTAAGAGAGAGATTAATTAAGGAGTTGACGGAGAGGGGGAAGTCAGGAGGAGAAAAGGCAGAAAAGGAATGGAAGAAACAGAGAACATAGTAAAGGAAAGAAATGGTTGTGGAACCAAGATAAGGTTTCAACTGCATCTGTATTATCTCCCCAGGGCAGCAAAATATTGTACTTCCAGAACAAACAAATAAAATATGTCAAACTAGTTTTTCCACTTCTATTCAAATCTCCTTTTCAGTCCTTTGTTAAATGCTGGATTCCAAATGTGGTAAAAGAATACCGCAAGCTCCACTCATTTTCAGTTCGGCCCACCTCGCTAGATCAAATACTCTGATCCCTTTTAGCTGGCAGATTAGAGAGACTCAAGATGTTCTGTCTCCATAGTCCTGGGGTATGCCGCTATTCACATTTATGAATGACTAAATCTGGACTTGATAGGCTCTATAGTTAATGTGAGGTGTGTCCATCCTCCATCGCAGAGACACACTCCTACACAGGGCTTTGAGAAAGACAAGCGTCATAAAGACTAGAGAAACAGTGGTCTCACTTGTACTCTTTCGAATGACTTAATCCTTATTAATTGCATGTGTTTTGTGTTTCCAGGCAGTGGGAGATTTAAGATTGGGTTTTGGTGTGAGGTGCAACAAAGCAGAAAGGCTGGGCCAGAAGACACAGATCCAACAGATTCTGTTGTGGTTTTGTCCACAACAGAAAAAAGGGCGTCCAAGGGGGGACGAAGGCGGTCTGTTGCTGCCCCATTAAAAGAAGCAGTGAGCTGCTTTTGTGGCGTGGGCGGGCAGGTGAGGGTTAAGCTGCGTTGACAACATTGGGTGGCGTGCCGAAGTGTGGGAGGAAAGAGGAAGAGGAAACGGAAGACGAAGAGGAGGGGTAGGTGGAGGAGGAGGAGGAGGAGTCGTGGTCTTGGGCCTGGAGTCCAAACACAAGCAGGATGGGGGAGAAGAAAGTTAGGTGAGTATCTTTGCCACGTTTGTTTAGCGTAATGAAGACGGATCAGAATGCATTCTTATAATGTGGAAGCAGCAGCTGGGTTGACATTGGGCTTTTACACTCTCTCTCTCTCTGTGTCTTGGTGTGCCCCCTTTTATTTCTATGTTTGTCCTTGAATTGATGTGTCATTTGCATGGCTTGTGTTGGTGACTGTGTTTCAATGGGTCTGTGCATGCACGTGGGCCCGTGTCTGTGTTGATCCCTCAGCAGCCTCCCCGCTAAGCTGATTAACGGGGGCGTGGCAGGCCTGGTTGGTGTGACATGTGTATTTCCTATTGACCTGGCCAAGACCCGCCTACAGAACCAGCAGGGCGTCCAAGTCTACAAAGGAATGTGAGTAGGGCTCCCCTGGCCCCAAGTTAACCCGATACATGTATGCAGTTGTTCTTAACATCACTAAACAATACGTTTTCATAGTTTTTGTTGAAAAAAAGCCTCTTTAGTCATCTTTATGAGTTAGGGAAGGAAGACAAATCTTTTTTTTCTACATGCAAATCCAAGCAAAGTCTCTGAACTGTAAAACCGTTGCAAAATATCTGCTGGTGATGAATGATAGCTAAATGTGCTCAAACAGCACTCTCTAAATTTGAGCTTCAAACAAGTCCGAATTATTTAGACGATGCCGACATACTTTTCCGCTGAATCTCAGAGGGTGGAGCAGCACAGCTCAACACACTCTTCCCATATTTGGCCCAGTGTTTTGGTGAGTTTGTACAAAACTCCCTCACGGGGTCATATGAGTGAAAGGGAAAGACTGTATACAGTGTGTGTTTTGATGGCCTGCCATGGTAGCTTAACCAAAACCAGACAAAAGTTCAAACGAATGCACTCGGACTATTTCACATTCAATTACTTAAGTTTGTGACTGTGTTTTAATCGGACACAAAATGAAGAGCTGCAGAGCAAAAGACAGATTCTGTGTCCTTAAAAGACACACCAACCACAGATGTTTAACTGCACACATCGGGGGGGCATCACTATTGCTGGTTGATTGGGTGTGGTCATCCTGTGTTTACCACATTTTAGACTGAGGCTTTCCACTCTGAGTCAGACATGGAAAAATAGCTTGGATAATTTCCCTTCAAGGCCCAGTCACAAGGCTGGCTTTTGTTTTGTTTTTTGCTCTTTGCAAAGAAAAAGCAGAGAACTTCAACATTACCAGCACTGGTCTCTGTCCCGTGTGTTGCTGTGGCTAAATAGAGGGTCCTGGTGTATTTGGGTGAAGGCCAGACTGGTGATGATGCTTGTAAATGAAGCATATAATTGACTTGACCTTAATGTCTGTCAGTAGAGTTAATGGTGAAACATATGAACATTGCTATGGTGTGACAAAATGTAAATTGCCTTCTTTTTTTTGTCTTTAAAGGTTGGACTGCCTGGCAAAGACGGTGCGCTCAGAGGGCTATTTCGGATGCTACAGAGGTATTTCTTGCATTTCTAATCCCTGTGACAAACAACACTTCGACCGTGCCTTACTATAAACTTAATCTGGCCACCTACGCTCCTCCATTTTATTGTCTTAACAACCAGCGTCTACTGCCATTAGCCGTGAGCCATAAGCTGCCGTGTAGGTCCGCTCTATTTGTGTACCTCAGTGGAAACTGTTGTGTGTCATCAGCCTGTTTGTCTCCTCCAGGTGCAGCAGTCAACCTCACGCTTGTTACACCAGAAAAAGCCATCAAGCTGGCTGCCAATGACGTCTTCAGACAGAAGCTCACGAAGGATGGGTAAATAAGATTCTTGCCCTTCAATGATGCATCATATAAGGAAGCCACGTAAACAGCATCTCAAGCAACGCAATAGGTCCGGCTGAAACGTACTCGTTGCATTACAGTCGATACTGTTCTCTTAATTAACAACAACAACAAATTCGTCATGAAAGTCAATCAGTGACAAGTGTGTTTGTTGATCTTGTTTTCAGTGTTAAAGCGCTTAAGTCTAAGGTCTTAGATGGATTAGTGTAATTTGCTAAAAATAAAATAAAATAAAAAAAGAATATGCTGTTGCATGGTTTGCTGAGTGCTTGAAGCAAAATCTGTGTGTTTGCTCTTCAATATACGGACTAATATACGGCCTTTTACTGCAAAAGTGTGCTCTTGATCATGCTGTATATGTGTTATTGACACTGCTGTGTTTCCAGGCATTTACCCCTGTGGGGGGAGGTACTGGCAGGCTGTGGGGCCGGGACCTGTCAGGTGGTCGTCACCACTCCTATGGAGATGCTTAAGATCCAGCTGCAGGATGCAGGAAGGCTCAGTGAGTTGGTTCCTGGATTTAATGTTTTTTTTCTTGTACAAATACCAAGAAGCAGTTTGTCAAAATTCACATCAGCGTAAAAGGATGCAATTCACTGGTCTTGGTGTAACTTAAGTCATATACGCGCCATGCCTCCCAATAATTAAGACCTAATGTGAGTGTTGTTATTGAGCTATTGATTGTTGCTAACCTGGGGCAGTCTGTGTTTGACTATCAGCTGCCCAGAGGCCTGTTCCAACTCCAGCTCCGGCTGCTGCCCCCGGTCCAGCTCAATCATTGGCGGCCCCCCAACCGGCGCGACCGAGCCCGGCACCTCGGCCCTCGGCCACCAGCATCACTGTGGAGCTGCTGAAGACTCGTGGACTGGCGGGCCTCTACAGAGGAGCAGGAGCTACCTTAGTGAGGTCATACACACAAAAAGATAAACACACACACACTTTCAATACATGATATTTTATATTTTACAATGAAATTAAAAAGACAGAGGCAAACCATAGCTTCATACTGTTCACACTCTGGTCTTTTTCCAGAATCTTTATATGTTTTGAACTATTCCAGACAGTTCTGGTCTCCAGTATAATTCCGTGTCTTCTTGATTTCAGTGGTGTCACTCAGTCCATGACATTATGCTTTTTATACTTTGCTCTCGTGTTGGAAACCTTTGAAAAATATCACATCCATGACCATGCACAGTTGCTTGCGTTCTCTGTCTCCCCTTTCATTCAAGTCTATCATCACTGCTTTAATGAGTTGATTTCACATTGCGTTTGTTGTACGTCATGCTCTGATCAATAGATTCCTGCAGCTATGTCTGGCTGCCATACTGCCGTTGAATGGGGCCATGTCTCTCTCTCTCTCTCCCTTTGTTTACAGTCCATCCTCTTTCTTTCTCTATGCCATAACAGCATCCCTCTCAGATTATTTCCTTTCTGCCTTTCCTTTAATCAAACATTTCCGTAATCCTTATTTTCAGGGATGTCCCCTTCTCAATGATCTACTTCCCGCTGTTTGCCAACCTAAACGCGCTGGGCCGGGAAAAAGTGGGTAATGTGCAGGCTCGGGCGCCATTCTGGCAGTCCTTTATGGCCGGCTGCGGTGCAGGCTCAGTGGCAGCTGTGGCTGTAACGCCATTGGATGGTAAGTGGGAGGAAGATACAGACAATGTGAGGAAGATCGTAGGGCAGGAGGTGGGGTGTGAATGGGGATCTCACTAAGATAGCAGGTGTATATACATATATGTATATTGATGTAATGTAATGACATTACACCTGTGTTTTATATGCCTGTACAGTCATAAAGACTCGTCTGCAGACCTTGCAAAAAGGTGACGGGGAGGACACCTACAAAGGAATTGTTGACTGCACACGGTAAGAATTTAGCCTGTAAGAAAACATGTGTTGCCTTAATGTCTTTAAGTGTGGAGGGCCATGTAACATGTTCCCTCTCCTGTCTCTGTGTACTTTTTGCAGGCGCATCATGACACGGGAGGGCCCGTCGGCGTTCCTGAAGGGCGCGGCGTGTCGCGCTCTGGTCATCGCTCCTCTTTTCGGCATTGCGCAGGGTGTCTACTTTCTTGGGGTCGGGGAGACGGTGCTGGGCTTGCTGGGATAGCGGCGCTTGGCATTGGTGGCGGTGAACGCGTTTGTCCCCGCTGCTTTAATTAAGTGAATGAATGAACACAACTGAGCGAGCGCTGAATACAGAGAGAGGGAAATATGGCCGCAGTCTGCCTAACCAAAGGAAGAGGGATGGTCTGACATATGAAGAGGGTCTATTTACTAATATGTGGGCCAACGGATTCTAATCACTAATCAAGTTTCTCTAGGGTTTTTTGTCATGCTGCCAACAGGGTCCTGTGTATGCGTGTGACTAATCAGAGTATGTGTGTCCCAAATTGTCGGGGTGATCCCATGTGCTTGCTGCAATATGTCTGGGTCCGTTACCTTTCACCCGAGAAGGATTATTCTGTCTGGTTAAGAGAGAGCTGCTGCATGTGGTTTGAGGCTGCTGACTAAAAAGGCCAATCTGACCATTTGTGTGGTCAAGACGGAGAACTGTGCACCATCCTATGTAAGTGATAAAATTCCCCTTTCAATCTTTATCAAAAGCTAAGATTGAATGTCAGAGTCTGAACTGGTGTCAAATGCCTAATCATTCAGATTGAAATGTTTGACGCGTTTCTCTGGAAACTTCGCTCACTCTCCTTCTGCTTACCCTGTTTAATGCCTTCCTCCCACTCCACCCGTGAGGTCCAAGTTGTAATCTTGGGATTCCTCCAGTGGATTGGGAGTTGCTGGCCGCCAGAAACTCTAAGGTCAGTTGTTAATCTAATGGTAATATTTTAATCCCCGGCATTAACGTACAATACACCCTAACACACAGCTCACTTCCTGACTAAAGGCCACCGGTTAGACCGCTGGGCCCCTGTCTCGTAGCCTTCACTTCCTCTGGTCCACACAGCTCGGCAGGGCTTTAATAAAACCTGAGAAGCATATATTACCGCTTAGTTACACATTAAAAATACAATCGCTTCAAATGACGTGCGCACAAAAACTAAAAAAGAAAAATGCGATTAACGCCTTGTAATTGCTGGTAGAGTTCTAAATCATCAAAACTGTATGTCTTAAATGAATTCAGTGGAATTGGGAGTCTTGAAACATTGATTTGGTACTCGAGTCCCACTTAGCGAGGACAGTGATATTTGTTAGACCCGTGGGGGGAGTAGGGCACCTTGTCTTTCCAACTGTTTGCCATCACTGATCTCCACTGGGTCGTACTAAAAGAGTTTTTTTTTTTTTTTTTTACATTTTTAATGCAAGACGTATTTTGATGTGGCTGTCGTACCCAGACTACTACATCTTCCTCATTGTAGAGTCATAGCCGGAGTAAAATGTTTGTTTACAAGCTGTAAATAAAGATTTCTCATACGTGCTCATTTCTCGGTGTCACACACATTTATTTATTTTTTATTTATTTGGCTTTCGTATGTTAAGTGCTTCAGAACAGAAGGTAAACATTCTTTCGCTGTCGGCATGCACACATAGCAAAACTATTTAAAAAGAAGAGACGTTTGGCAAACATACCATATAATCCACAGCATTATAGGCTGTACTCTACAAAAATGTAGACCATGTGAAGGGAATATGTGTATATTTGGTGACCTAAATATGTAGCTTTGATTACAACAGATTTCCCAAAACAACTGAAGGAAGACATTTTTGCAATTTAAAGCAGTTAAAGCAGAGGTACAACAGAGGGCACTTACACATAAATAAAAGTGCACTTGTTGCATTATTACATCAATTAGTGCAAACAACAAAAAAACTATATCAACACATCAGTAGCATCCCATCAAGTGATTGTACAGACTGGTGCTCACGATGATGAAGGTCTTTGGTCAGCTGTGGCCACACCGCTCTCTTCCAATCCGCTGCTAATCCGTGAACCTGCGGTTTGGATTGGCTCCGAACAAGTCCACTCGGATTTCAGGCATCATCTGTCAGGCGTAAAGTCAGGACACAAATAAGTACACGCAAGACACTAAAAGGACAAACCTGGACAAATCATTGAACCTCCATGAATAACGTTGAGGACGCAGACGTTGAGTGCCAAAACTTAAAGATAAGTGAAAGCTTCTTGCTTGCAAAAAGTGAAGATGTTTGGCCTTGCTTTGTGCAGACCTGGGGTTTATTAAATAATATTAAAATACATAGAGGATGCCTATGTAGTGATAAGGCATCAGCAGCTGTGTGTAGGAAGCAGAAACCATGTCAGGACGCTTGCTCAAAACAAATCCCTCTCAAGGTTCATCTGCAACACGAGCAGGTCGCCCAAACACAAAGCGTGACTGAATACAGTTTAGTGATTTACAAAAGTAATTGTCTGTAATTGGTAAACAACCAGCTTTCCTGCTGCACCTGAATCTACAATCCAAGCAAAAAGAAGAATCAGTGTTCCCCCATTCTTAAAAATATTGCTCAATTAAGTAACACCCAATTAAAATTCAGTTCATTTGTGTGTAGCTCTGTGGGCTCTGCTCTGCTGCCCTCCACAGGCAAACAGCAGAAACTACATTAACAGTGTTATAAAGGTGTGCTTTGGGTTTTAGATACATTATATATTATATTACTCTACCTGTTGTGCCATCAGCTCAAGCCTGTTCTCCAAAATGTTGGAAACCTTGATCTTCCTGTTGTCATTGTACACTTCTATCCCTCCGCAGCTGTTCAAACAAAGAGTTTACACCATTATGAGATAACCAAACTCATTTTAAGTGTTGTTTTCTCTTCCCGCTTTTTCATAAAAAAAAGTAATCTGACAATACATAGAACATCATAGACTAAGAGTTGGTCTTAAAGTCCATTAAACCGTCTTACATCTCTGACGGAAGAAAGCGTTCCTGGTCGATTTTGACAACTATGTTGATCTTCACGGCCTCTTTGTAGATTGGGATGATCTTATTAACCGCAGCCTGTCAAGCAATAAAACAAAGACTTACAAACACAACACTAGCTGCTATCATACATGTAACAAAGGATGAAGCAGCTGTTTTTCTAATTACCTTGTAACAACAACTACAACATAAAGCCCCATATTTAACTCAACCTCACCTGAACCATCTCTACATCCTGCTGTCGGCAGCGAATGGTAACTTTCGGTTCCAGCAGCTGATAGAAACCCTAAAAAAAGTGAAAAGCACACTCAGAAAACGCAGCGAAGCAACACACCGATCAGCTGTGTTTGTGTATTTGACTCTACCTGAAGCACCAGGCCCTCCAGTAAGGTGGAGTAACTCGCAGCGTCCTTTGCAATCTCTGCAAGTCTCTGACGAGCCTCGTTCAACAAATCCTGAGGACAGGAAGACAAGTAGAGCACAGAGGTTTCCCTGAGTTATTTAGATAACTTTAAAGACATAAACGTGTTGCTCATGAACTGGTATTCAGATCCTTTGGAATAAATAACATTTATATAACAGTATACAAGCAGTACTGTGTTAATATATATATGTGTAAAATATGAGACTTGATCTCTCACCGTGATCATCTCGTCGCGGGACTTCAGCACCTTCAGCCTTGCTTGGTTCATCAGGTTGGACATCTGACTGCGAGAGCGGAAGGAAAAGTCAAACGAGTAAATGATCCGCAGACATGAAAACGTTCCGCATGATACCCAGTCCTCACAACACACCGATTTAAAGACGCCTTTGGCATTACAACGGGATTTTACGAGGCGAATCGTGGGACGTCCATGTCCAGGAAGGCGATGTGCTAACATTTTTATTTCCGTTCAACTGTAATGAGAACTAAAGAAAAGCTCAGAGCAACAAAAGTGACTGAAAGAAAAAAAACAACTTATCTGGTAAGAATTGATTCAATATGTTGACGCAGCTAGAATATTAGTTCAACTTGGTCTCTCGATCCATCGGAGGACCACTCAAGACTGCCAAAGTCTCACAAAATGCAAGGCTGTCGATACTCAAATTGAAGAATTTGGATGAAGTGTGTGAAAAACAATGACGGCAAAGCCATACAATAGCTAAAAAAGAAGCTGTTGTGGTGTAGCATTATGTCCAGGTCAGTGAGTACCCTCACACTAATGTAGTCTGTGATCCTTGTCCTGTGAAGTCCAGGTCCCTGAACATAAGATATGGCAACGCTACTTTGTCTTTATTCAGTAAAGCTTAAAAACACCAAAGGTGCCTCTATTAAATAAGGATTTAAAGGTTTTTTTTTCATTCGATCAGTGTCAGAAACCTGATTACATCAACTGTGATTCAATACAATAAAAATCATGAGAAGGTCCAATGGGCAGGCCCTGTATAAGCACTGCTCACACTTTTAGGGTGTGTAAAAAAGGTATAAACGTTATCCTTCTCTACCAATAGCATGTTTTCCCTAAACTGGCAATAAGTGACCAACAACACACATTTTCTTATGTTGTTCAATCTGCTTGTCCTTCTTCTCATAGTACTGCATGAACTTCACCCTCTGAGTCTGCACCAGACGACCTTTCTCGATGTTGAACTCTTCCTCCGCCTGAAAACAGACGGAAAGACAAGGCCTGTTACTGGTGTAGCAGTGGACATCGCAAGACTGACTGAGACAGACAAGACAGAGACAGACTGACAGACAGAGACAGACACACTGACTGAGAAAGACAGACAGACTGACTGAGACAGACTGACTGAGACAGACTGACTGAGACAGACAGACAGAGACAGACAGAGACAGAGACAGACTGAGACAGACAGACAAGACAGACTAAACTGCAATTACCTTGGCGTCAATTTCCTCCACTTTCTCACTGGCCTCTTGTTCAATGAAGCCCATCATGTGCTTGATCTGCCATAAGAGACAAAATATAGTTTGTTCAAATTCAGAACTCATACAACTTCAGCTTAAGAACGACGTATTTCGTTCAAAATTAACGTCACGCTGCCAGACTATGACTGGGAACGTTAGCTATTTAATTTGTGTGATAATGTAACAGCTAACGTTAGCTAACACAATAATGTAGAATGGACCAACACCCAAACTAAACAACGCGAGTTTAGCAACAACCTCGAAAGTTAAAACGACAGTTTAGTGCATAATAATAGATTAAGCAGCTAACTTTAACACGCACGTTACTTAGTTCAGGTTTTAGCCCATTGGCTAGCGTTAACGTGTGTTGTGTTAATGTTAGCTAACTCAACCTAAAGTTATAACTTAAGTTAGGGATACATGTGGTTGACCATTGTAGCTTCGAGTCTAACATTACTTTAGCGTTACCTGTTTCTGTACGTCAGCATCTGTAAGCGCCATGTCTGTCCTTAAATAACTTTGTTTATTATGAGACTGTAAAAAAAAAAAACGTCTTCCTGACCACTTGGACAGTCCAGTTACACAGAAACAGTTAGGACAACATGCTTCTCCTCTTCTTTTGCATTAAAGTCGAGCTAGCTATACAAGACGAAGAAAACATCCGGTTATAACTTTCAAAATAAGACATATAACCCTTGGAATAGCGCATATATATTTTCCAATATTTCAATTTATTTAACTGTGAGCAGAATACCATACACATATTTATTCACAATACATCTCAATAATGCTTCATTGTGTTTACTTGGGCAGGCAAGCTTCTTGTGCGCACTTTTTCTGCCCGCTTTTTAAGTAATTGTTATAATCCCATACGTTATATTTGATAGTATGTTACATCTTTGAGTATCATGATGTTAGTTATGTATATAAGTTTCAAATATCTCTCTCTGGAGAGTTAATTATAATAATCAGGTACGATTATAATTTTCATCTATGAGAAGTCACGTTCGGCCTTTCTGTAGCTAACGGTTACAGAGGTGCTCAACTGACATCCTTTCACGTGGGTTTCCCATGGATACACTGAAAGACACTTTGAAAGGCACTGGGAAGATTAATATTCAATCCAACATAAAGTAAGCGTTACGTTATCGTTTAAAAAAAAGTTGTAACCCTGTTGCTAAAGAGAGTGTTATTTTGAAAGTTGTAACAGGACGTTTGGCGATGTGTTGTCGCCAGCTTGTCAAGCTTCCAAAGCACACACTGTCCTAGCGCTGCTGCTGCCTGCCAGTGGTGGTCTGCTCTCTTCTGCTGCTGCTGCAGGGGATTGTGTCGCATATTTCCATTCTACCTGTCGTTTGTCAGCACCTGTTTGCCTTTGGTCAAGGACGGTAAGAAGTCGACTCCACTTTGGCTTAATTTAAGTTGAATGAAAGTTTAGCGTCTCCGAAATATCACCTTGAACGTGAAACGTCAACGTTGAGCTAGCTAACACGTTATAGCTCGCATGTGTGAGAAGGTGTTCCGGCGAAAACGACTAAAAACGTACTTTTTCAGCGTAGCAGACATTTATGAAATGTGTCAGTTAATTCTAGTTAATTAACGTTAGCTTATCTAACTAGGCAAAAGTCCGCTATTTAGGTAATTGCGTATGAGCTTATAACGTTATGTCTTTGTCTTTTGGAGCCATGCCGTCACTTTGGAAGAATTAACATAATAGTAGTGGTTTGTATTCCAGTTATTATAGTCGTTATAAAGTTATTATCTGAACGTAGAAACTTTGGTATCAGAATCTCCATAGGGCAGCTAGAGATTTTATTTTGACAGCTCAAGCCGGAAAGTGTTTCTTCTTTTAATTCGTCGAACTTTACTATAATTTGACTTTTGGTTCGCATGGTGTTTCCTCATCTCTGGAGGACGATGTGAGCTGAACTTCCATTTAATACTAGTTTAGTAAAGCCACGTACTGTCCTTTTAACCCCCTCTGTACACCACGTGTACGGCGAAGTACCCATGTGTCTTGGGTCTGGGTCTCTGGGTCAGCAGAGTCTCAGTCAGCAGTCATGCAGTCACTGAGAATCAATGATCCATTTGAACCCCATCCCCCCTTTTCTGGATGAGAAAGTAACCATGTCTACTTTGCATAATGCCCATAAGACATTTTGCTACCATTCCTGTCCTGTGATGACACTGAGGGGCACATTTATTTAATCTTACAGATGTCAGATAGGACATTTAAGTGTGATGTGATGTGAATTTCATTAATGGGTGTTTTGGCCAGATTTGACGGAACTACAGCTATCATGTTAAATCAACATATTAATTTTCCTCCTGTGGCTCTGATTTTCCTCAGGTGAGACGTCCGGCTGTGACTGTAAAAAACGCATATGCCTGAGAGTCTGACATCTGTTCAATGGCTACCTCAGGCCCCGCCACCTCTTCTGCCTCCATCACCGCCACTGTGCCTGAGGGTTTCCATTATGAAACCAAGTACATTGTGCTCAACTACCTGGCAATGCTGCCCGTCGGCAGATCACAGGCGCTAACCATTCCTCAAGGTGAGAGGAAAGACTTTAGATTAGCGGGTAAATGTTCTTCTCACTCCTAATGTAGTTTAGGTGTAACCTGACATGAGGTAGGGCTTCAATCTGAAGTTAAAGTGCAGCAATGACATATCTCATGTCTCCCGAAGGGAAGTACTGTCACGGACACCCTGTTTAACCGCTCTCTACGGTCTCTTCATGTCGCCGGTGTGTGACACACATCTCAGGGCAAACCTCACACGTCCATTAACGCAGTACACAAATAGAGTCATGCGCACATAGACACAGGGCAGTGCCAACAGATATTCAGGGTGTGCAGGCAGGTTGCCACCTATTTTCTATTTAGCCTTCGCTGACAGTGGCACAGAAACGCACCCAGAGACTTTTGTGCCCATGCAATCATGACAGTAAATATAGTACCCGCTGCTTGTAAACAAATAGATGGCATGTGAAAGCTACATACAAGCCCAGCTACGATCCTTTCAATATGGTGTCCAGCGTGGCTGAAGACTGGTCTTTCTTTACAGAGACTTTTTTTATGACTTCAGGCTCGCAGCATGCAGTAGTTCCAGCTTGTTCCCTGTGCACCGAGCATACTAACACACACACAGCAGAGTGCCTTTTGAACAGAGTTTGACCTATTTGACACGTATAGATATGTCCCATTTGTAATTCTTTAGTCAATCAATGTGCGCATAGAGACCATAAAGAAGCCATGGTCACAGTGTGTTAGTGGCGAAAGAAATCTGACTGATTACAGGCTAAGAAACACTTCGAAGGGAAAGACAAAACATTGTGTATGCATTATGAGCAAGAAAAAGCAGCAGTGAGCGATAGTAAAGAGACAGAGGGGGAGGTCCTTATATTTCCTGTCCCTTTTTATTGTTGTGTGCATGCTTGGAATGGGCGGGGAGGGGCAGATGACTGGCTGATCCCAGCTTTCCGCTTGGCCCGGTCCAATTTGTGACAGCCTGTCATGTGTAATCACTGCAGGATAACTCACACGCCAATGAACCAATGCAAAATAGTTGTCCGGTTAGCCGTCTGGCTGAATGCTGAAACAGCACCGAGCCCAGGAAAAACCAACAGTGGCCCTTTAGGGGGTTCATGTATGAGCTGCAGGGATACACACAGAATGGGAAAAGGGGGGTTGGTTGAGTTTCCTCTTCCTTCCTGTTTAAAAACAATAAATGAAATAAACACCAGATTTCCGTTGCAAAAACATTAGTTGGAAAAATCAATGAGGAACGACACCTAAAGGCCTTTTTTGTTTCTTTTCTATTACCTGATGGTCCACATTCCATGATAGCGGATGTAACCAACGTCTTTGAGCGGAGTGAGTGAACCGGAAGGAGTCGGATCAATGCTGGGGCTCCACATATTCTATAGTCATTCACCAGCAGCCTTTGTCTCAGTCCTGAGAGAGCTCCATTTTCAACTATTTCCTGTTTGAGTTCAGCAGCATCGTGCTGAGGAGGAGCCGATGAATGAGTTAAAAGAGAAAGGCCGTTGGTATTAGTAGAACCCGAGCCCGCAAACATGTTTCTCCCCTCCAGGACAGTTGGTGTTTATATACGTGCACAACAGTTTTCATTAATTGGTGGTTGTATCGTCTTTGTGAGGAGTCTGTCTGTGTTTGTGTGATAGAGCGAGAGAGAGACCGTTCATATGTCATGTGTTTATCTCTCTTTCAGGACATGCCCAAAATGAGAGCGAGAGGCGCACAATGATAAAAGAGCACGAAGAAGAGCTGAGACAACTGGACGATGAAATCACTGCATGTAAAGTGGACACACACACGCACACACAAAACGAGTACTATTCAGGTCTCAAGTCTCTGATTTGAAGTTAACGATTAAGGAGTCAAATCTCCATAATATATTGTAGAAAATAGATATAACAAAAATATGGTTCTGTGTAGACATTTTTAGTGCAGATGTATACATGAACTGGAATTATCATAACTTAAAGCACAGTATAGGTAAATGAAAGGAAACGCACAAACACCTTTAATGTTGTAAAACTCTGTCTTTTCTTTGTGCCATTCGTTGTTCATGCAAAGCGTTGGTCTCCTTTATGTAAAGGAGTCCACAGGTCAATGTACAACATGAAATGTATGCAGCGAAAGAGAACTTTGGTTTCTTTACATAACCACAGTTCTCTGAGTAGCATGACACGAGTGAGTGTCTAGTAAGGAAGAGGTGAGCTTCTTGAGTGGGGGATGGTTTGGTGTAAACCCAATTCATGAGGAGAGAATCCCCTCTCTCACTGACAGCCAACATGCTTTATTTTTCAATCGAGGTGTGCGAGACACTTATTCATGCTACTCAGATAACCGTAGTTCCATAAATAACCCATTTGCCAATGGGGATAATTCCTAATGAACTGCACTTCCTGTCTGAGATAACTCTCTCCTGTGCTCTGTGTGTTCGCAGCCTTTTCCACAACAGGCTTTGACCGGCACATGTCGCTGGTGTTCAGTCCGGTCCTCCCAGAGTCCTCTATTGAAGACTGCCTTGCTGCAGTGGGAGACCGCGTGGCCGCGGAGCTCGACGAACATCTGGCAGCAGCTGTGCACACACTCCTCGCAGGGTCAGTTTACAACTCTCTGACTTTCTCGATCGGTTTTGTATTTTTTGTGTGTGTGTGTGTGTGTGTGTGTGTGTGTGTGTGTGTGTGTGTGT